AATAAATATACAAATAAATAACGTGGTATTTTAGGCTGTAGTCTTTTGTGTTTGTATGTGTGCATGTTCAAAGTTATAGTGAGTTTTGTGATTGGACAGGGATGGGAGTGATGGAGGCCACAGCTCTGGGAAAGAAGCTGGTCAGGGTGCAGCATGCCCCGTAATATAATAGAGCACCAATTGTGTATTAATCCGCAGCCACAAATAGTCCCTAAAAGATGCATCATCTACTCCTGTCTGCTAACAATTACCGGCTGTGGTATTCTTTTTATATTTCTTAAAGTATGCAATTGTGACTTGTTTTTAAATGTTTCAGTGTTGCACAGACAGGGTACAAAATGAGAGATACTCTAAGTGTTTGGGTTCTTCTCCTACATGGAAATATGTTGACAATAAGGGAAAGAGATTAATCCCAGTATAATCCTTTGAGATAATCATGCAGAAAATATCTACTGTACATTTATATGCAGATTATAAATAGGCATGTTTATATAAAGATTACCCCCCCCCCCCCCCTATGATGTAATATGACAGCGTGTCTTTGGTCACACTTACAGCCTGCATACATACATAAAGTGCCTGACTTCATACGATAAAGACACCATTCTTCTTATTCTCGTAGCAGAGGCAGACACAACTGTAGCTCCTAGCCGTGCAACACTTTTATCTCCCCACCCCCCCACCCTCCCAACAAAAGTCTCTCTCTCATTAGCATGCACGCGTCCTCCAGTGTTTTCGCTCCCCGGTTTGTCGAGCGCTGATCTTTCCTTCATAGGCCGTGTGATAAAGGCCCTGCAGAGTAAACAAGCCGTGGAGAATGGCCTCTTGTCTTTTTATTATCGCCTCCTAATGCCCCACTCATTCCTGCCGTGATGGAGTGGGGTTGGAACCTGGGGGGGGTGCACAGACATACTCAAATTGAAATGCACACTCACTAGAATACTCTTTTTAAGATGAAGCAAGAGTATCCGTACATTTGTGTTTCGTCGCTCACTGAAAACAGCTCGACATGTCAGGTATTGTACAGCTGTCTGGAAATATGTGTAGTAACCCCCCCCCCCCCCCCTCTTCCTTTCCCTGGGTCTCCAGACTAAAAAGAAAGGGTGGGTAGTGGGCTTTGGAGGGAAAGGGGTGGTGAAGGTCACTTTGATGTGACTATAAAGACACACAGCAGGCCAGTGGAAGGAGATGAAAGGACGGAGCAGAAGTAAAATAGATCCTGGTGGAGCAGCAGAGGAAAAGAGGACTGCTTCTCTCTCCTCGCAGCACACAGAGGATAATGATGCTGTATCATAAACAAGAGGCGGCCGGGGAATAGAGCGGGCGTCTTGCAATTAAAGTGAGCAAACAACATTTTTGAAGCTGACAACATCTATGGTGGATGCATCGAGCGCAGCCATCTTGCATGTGAAAGCTCATATGTGGCTCAAAAACAACAATTTAATAAATTAGCACTTGTCAAAATAGGGCATTTGGCACATTCTGGTAATCCACTGTGATTTATTTACTGAATGATTGATCGAGTCTGCATGTTTTTACATGCCGTCCAAGATGCTCTTCAATGAAGCACATTATATCTGTCTGTAAAGCTGTCATAAGTGTAGTTAGCCTCCATGTTTGCCTTCATATCTTAATCGTTTTAATGTAGGCATAATCTAGCGTCAAGTTTGTTCATATTTACGCCATGTTCCTGAAGATTGCCTGCAATGTGGTTTGTCAGCACCTTGGCTCGGTGCAGTTGCCTGCCCCCATTAGGCCCAGCCGTGTACTGCAGGTGAATCATGTACTCAGAGAAGCTCAGAGGAGTCATTGGGTATGACTTCAGTCTGCAGTCAGTGTGTGTAGTCATCTCTGACACACACACACTGACGGACACCAGCCAGCAGAGCAAAATCCCCAAAACCTGTTGGAAAGGTGTTTCCTTGAATTTGCATTTCCACGCAGCTCTACTTTAAAGCTTTGTCTGCTGTGTATTCTGTATCTGAAAGTGTTTTGATGATTGAGCTGTTTTTTGGTATCGAAGGTAGCATATACAGAAGCACCCAGAGGGAGGAGGAGGAGGAGGAGGAGGAGGAGGAGGAGGAGTGGTGAGACAGCAGCCAGACACCAGATGTTTCCATACGACCCAGCCAGCACCGCTCAGGCGAGATTAGTGTACGCAGTACAGTCGCTAGAAGTGTGTGTGTGTGTGTAATTATTCCCCTGGCCAGGGCATGCCCATAGCCTGGGTGGCCCAGCAGGAATTTGACGGGTGGCAGTAAGTCTGGAAATAGATGTGAGAGCTCTGCTGAAAACAGGGCGACTCTTCCTCAGGAGGAATTGGTGTTGGAAATATATTCCAGTCAAGGCGGGTGTGCGCGTAGATGTGCTTATGAGATAAAGATCGGATCCCAAGAGAAAATTGGGTCGCAGCAAAGATAAATATACAAATACAACAGAACATATTGAAGAGAAGCAGCACATACATTATTTTAATGGGGAGCTGTGCATTGGGATGTGTGTAACAGTTAGCATGTGTTAATGGTTGGAAAGCTCTGATATTTCTGGCTGAGGTGTCACTTCGATTTATATCAAAGGGGATCCCAAAGCTCCCTCCTTGACCCTCGAGGTGCCTACAATGCCTCACACACACTCTCCGCATGCTGATAGGGTCAAGTCGGGGCTATCTCTGCCTTATCTCCCCAGCAGCAGATCTAAAGCCACGTCTGTCGGTGATGAAGGCCTCCACCGGATCACTCAGCCTCTCTGAGAGACTACTAGACTCTCACACAGTTTCTCCTTGAACCCACGGCCGGCTCACTGGCCAAACACACTGATGGAAGAGGGGGGGGGGGGGGGGAAGTGTTGAGTGAGTGAAAGAGCTAGAGAGGTGTGTGTTTGTGTGTGACAGAGACGGTGGAGAGAAAAGAGGGAGAGTTATCAGTCATGCTGTCAGTCTCTGGGGCAGGTTGTGATAAGAGAGGCAACGGTTGGTATCTATCTCCCCCTCTGTCTCTCTCTCTCACACACACAAAACGGGGGAGAAAGACCCTGTTGTGTTCCCCTCCGCCACCCATGAGTGCACACAGCGCAGGTGTGCCGGGGTGAGGAGTCCGACTGAACGGCAGCCATTTGTCGGCGGTATTTCAGGGCAGATGGATGACAGAGGGAATACAGATGATAAGACCCTGGGTGAAATACATTAGAAAAAGGGGCATGCGAATATTGCAGCTGCAAGTGTTTGATTTCACTGCTGCGGTTCTTAAACAGCCTCTGACACCGAGACATGCAGTGGCTTTTTTAAGCCGGGGCTCACACTGTAGCATGGCATGTGCTTGCAAGGAGTTTCATTACTCGAGCCTCTTTCACACATGCACTGCAACCCTGAAAGGGTCCAGACATTACCCTGCGGAGCTGCATGTGAGAACATAAATATCTGAATCATTCGGACCGGACATCAAACAGACTTCACCCTGCCAGCTCCCTGCTACTAAATCCGTGTTGAGCCCATGTGTGAACGAGCCGCTCATTGTATGGAGAAATGGGTAGTTGTATGAGTAGAGCCGACAGGACTGAACAGAAAGTGGTGTTTTACGGAGATAATCCAAGAAAAAGACATCACCCAACTGTTTATTTATAGCTGCAGGATGTATTCCCTCGTGGGATCGATTCACCCTCAACATTCCCTCTCTATCTGCCTCTTTCTCAGGTTCTCCGGTGGACCGTTGCCCACCATTAGCCATGCGTTGACCCAATATTTGGGGGGGTTGAATGCTGACGGTGGGGGCAGAGATGTTGACAAATGGGAAAGAGGAGTATCAAATGACCTCTGGGGAGTGGGGGGGGGGGGGACAGAGCAGAGCAAGAAGTGACCCAGTGTTGCTTGAAGGTTTTATAGTGGCTGTGTTTTCTCTTTATCTTTAAGGGTCATGACGGGAGTTAATCCACCACTCATCAGAAAGTGTAATCAATGCTTTCTCGTCAATAACCACTAGTGGCACAGAAAAGACACGCGTTAAACAACTCCAGCACACGGCAAACTGGTTTACGCCAGTGCAGACGCCCGCCCAGAGGCTCAGATTAGCCAATCGCAGTGACGTCTGACAGCCAGCGCACCCTGGGTGAGAGGCGGGCTAGGGGGTCTCTATAAAAGCTGATGGCATCTAGTAAACCTGGGGGGGGGGTGTAGCGGCAGGGTGACAGTTGAGTCTAGTGACAACCCGACCTGTCATACAACCTTCTGTCAAGGGCACGGCGCTCTTTGGTTGACTTTGTTTACAGTCTGTCACGGGACAATAAAGCGAGTTGATGACTGTAGAAGCTTGTTTTCTACCACCATCATGTCATGTTGTTTTCCTCAAAACAAAGCATGCACACATAGAAAAGTGCACAGGACGTCTCCTCCTGACCTGTAGGAATGCACCTAGCTGTTCCAAATAAAGCCGGCCACATACTGTACCTCATTACACGACCAGGCCGCAGTCCATTACATTACAAGGTAACACAAGCCAGAGGCAGGGCACAGGGCTGGACGCTGCAGATTATTTTGGGCTCAGTACTGTGTCATTACACGGCCTCCCGCTCTGTATTTAGGCGAGCAGATTGCAGGGCAGAGACTGGGCAGGGCTGAGGCGGGCTCTGCCTCCATTGAGTTGAGGGCTTGCTCTTTGAATGTGTCTTGTGGCGGAGTTGTGCCTATACTGTGCAGCCAAACCTTCCCCAGACACTCCCTGTTCCACTCTTTCTGGGATTCCTCCTCATGTTCCCTTGCAAACAGCCTTAGGAGAAGCTCCCTGCTTTACCATTAGAATACATCTTATCTGGAGCTTATCTGTGGCAGAGCTCCTATCTGTGGTATCTTCTGAAAGGGGTGTGTGAGTGAGAGAAAGGGAATGGGGGAGCTCTCTCTCTCTCCCTCCCTATAATCAGAGACCAACGGGAGGGGGCGGAGCCGAGGCGCCGTGACTGTAACGCGATAGCTGCTCAGCTCAAAACCGCGATCACTCTCACACACACACACACACACACACACACACACACACACACACACTACACACACACACACACACACACACACACTACACACACACACACCTCCCAGACGCGTCGACAGGACACACGCCGGAGTCTGAGCAGAGCGCAGAGCGTTACGGAGCCGCAGAGAGAGGAGCTGCTGCGGGAGATGGCATGAGATTACCGGGCTTTTTGGAGAGCAAGAGCGCAACACCGTTTCTTATTTATTATCCCGGGACACTGAAAAGCAGCGTCTGACCCTCGGACTGAGGCTTTGAGAGCTGTAACGGAGGACTTGCTATTACCAAGGACGACCCTCGTGTGCGCAAAAATACGCGGGGACGCAGAGAGGGAGATACGGGGACTGGGAGACTGTCAGTCGGGACTTGGCGCACCCTGGAGCCGCTGTCTGGAGCGCACAGTATCGATCAAGGAGTTTGTTTGTTCACATTTTTTTTGGATGAGTGGCATCGCTGTGCTAAATGGACAGACTTTAAAGGAGCTGTGCCGATAGAAATCTCTGGATTTCTTCAATGACATGTAGTTGGCACACAGTTTGCTCCACCATGGTTTAATAGACTCCGTGGGAATATTCCTTTTTGGTCTAATACAGGGGTGTGGATTTTTGTTGTTGGAGGAGCAGCAGAATTGTTATCGGAAACATTAGAAACTTAAAGCTCTCTGCGAGTTTCTGCAACATCCAAGATGGATTTTGAGTCATCATGGATTGGATTGTTGATGGCATTGTGTCATCTGGCATTGAGAGTCAGAGGAGAGGAGGGTGAGTTTGAGTCACTTCTTTACCTAAACACACACACCGTGTAAAATGCAGTATATTCAAAAACACAGGAGAATGAAATATATATAGAGATATAGATATAGGGAATCTGGGAAATAATTTGTTTTTGAAGAGATATTGTCATGTGTTTCCTATTATTCCAACATTATTAATTATTGATAACCAGACCCATGTGTCTCTCGCTTTCTTCATGTTCCCGTAAATGTGGGAAGCATTGGGATTAGAGTTGTTTTATATGTATTCTGTATATGGGTTTATCAGAATCATAGGAGCCAAGGTGACGTTTTAAATTAAAGCCAACCTAATTCAGCCCTGTGCCAAGCCAGCTGTTCCACATCTGAAACTAAAGAAGTTGCTTTCATGAAATATTTAGAGTGGACACAGTTATCTGTCCCAGCATAGAGCCTACTTCCAGCCCTCTGTGCTGTGGATGAGCTGAATACATGCATGAACAATTCAAACACATTGTTTACCTCGAGTTTCCCCTTGTTTTTTTTATATGCAATTTAATTATTCATCAAGGGAAATAAACAAACCCTGATTACAATTATATTTCACATCCGGGAGAAAGCAGGTTTTAGGCGTAGGCTGAGCGATTGTATTAGTGCCCAAGAACCTGTGCGTAAAAGCTCCAGTGTCACCGTAGGATTGCTCTAATAGGACTGTAATCACCACTATTATCTTCATCAGGCACCACGAGTCTCTCCTTCATTGCCTCCTTGGGGTTGTGTGTGCGGGGTGGAGCGAGGCACGGCTGCTGGTTGGTGCACCGTCACCTCCACCTCCGTGCGCTCCCCGCAATCAAATAACAATAATAAAGCAGATTATAGTGCAGGAGGAGAAGCCCTGCAGCTGGTGGTGGGGCTTCCGAGCCTTGCTTTGAGACTCAAATATACTCCTTTCCGTAACACACTGTGGCGAACGAGTGGATTCAGGGAGAACGAAGCGTTGTAACAGCGCCAAATGTATTTCGAAGCCTCATTAAATGTGGATTTAACGCCAGGGAGCCCGGACTTCCATCTGCTAGCTTGATCTAATAATAATTGTTTTAATAATAAGGAGAGGTTGTTGCTTTATCATGTCAGCAGAAGTGTGTGCGTGTATAGGCTCACCACACTGAGGAGTGACGCCACTGGTGGGATGACACATGGTCTTTGGCTCAGGGAGTACCTACTCTAGCATTGTTGATGCTTTTAAGGTGGTTTGACTCCAGATAATAATGAACTGGGATCTTAGCAAAAATGGAGACAAATTATAGGTTTTAATATAATATTTGTTTGTGACATAGTTGTCACATTGAGTATACAGAATAAGATGTATAGCTATATGTATATAGTCTATGTCTATAGTCTACATGTGGCTGTAGTTCCCTTTCTCCATGCGGGTTGACGAGTTGTTCATAGTCCCATGATGACGGTTGGGCTTTACAACACCACCCGCTGGTTTCACTGCGGCTCTGTTCACTGCACATGGGCTCGTCCTCTTGTTTAGGCTACTTGTTTTAAATAGGACAGTCGCTCTGCATTTCTGTGTGTGTGTGTGTGTGTGTGTGTGTGTGTGTGTGTGTGTGTGTTTTACTAGCTGCCTGTACCCCTTGATCAGACACAGATGTGGGCCTCTTGGCAGCCATCAGGCAAGCAAGAAGCTAGATCCCCTCCCCTCTCTCTCTCCCTTTCCCCTGCCAAGACACTGCACCGCATGTCCCTGCCTCCCGCTCCCCTCCAGAGCCACATTACACACAGATGCCAGAGGGAAGAGAGGCTGAAGGAGAACACAACGGAGACAGAAACAGGGAGGTTCAGAGAGAGAGAGAGAGAGAGATGTGAGGGGACAGGGACTGCAGGGAAGAATGGGAGGCAGATGCAAAGCTGTAAGGCACAGAAAAGTGACCATCCACTATAGGTCAGGAACAAGAAAGAAGAGGATTTATGGGGGGTGGATTGTGCATCAGAGTGAGGAGAGGGCAACATCAAAGCGTTCAGGGGTCAAAGAGTTAAAATGTCACCGGACTAGGGAACATAAAGCGTTAAGGGGTTTATAAAGTGACCGTCGTCCTGTGTGACGCAGCTAAAGGGAAATAAAAGAAGTGTTTTAAAATGATGCTCTTGTGAAACATAAGCACACTGGAGTCACATCGGAGCTTTTGATGATCGACTCCATCTGGTTGGAGCTGCTTGGTACATTTCCAGTGGCAGAAAAGGTTTCCATTAAAATGTTTTGGAGCAAAAATGATGCATGGCTGAAGCATCTCTGCGAGAAGTGTAGAGGTAAATGACCCATGAAAGATTTCCCATTGTGGCCCCTGCTGGTGCCTCCTCCCCTTTTCATTTCTCGAGACCTATTTGCTGCAATCCTAACACCCAAACAGAGAGGCTTCTAATCCACTTGTACTGTAATCACAATAGTTTGACTCAGTGACATGTGCATCAATTACTCCTCAGCACAAGCATTAATATTCAGGCCATTAAGCAGCTCATTTGCATGTGTATTGACGGGCGGCTGTGCATCCTCACCTATGGTATCGACTTCTCCCAGAGTTGGATTTCCACAAATGTAATCATTTATTTTCCACATGTGTTCTCCTGGCTCATTTTTATCTTCCTTCTTTGTATGTGTTCATTTTTTCTATTTGTTTTCCACTTCGCCTTTTTTCTCCCTCTACACGGCGCCCTTCAATTCTTTGCATTTCCCCGTGTTTTAATCTGCCCCAGCCTCAGAGGTATCAGCTGCGACAAACAAGGTCACCTATTAGCATTCATAGCCGAAGACGAAACGGAGCGGCCCGTTCAATAGCAGTCAGGTAGGGCTGCTCAATTAATCGTATTTTAAACGCGATTACGATTATGGCTTGCAACGATTACGAAAAGAACGTAATCGAAATAAAACGATTTTTTTATTATTACTTTTTTTTTTATATAATTTTTTTTTATTTGGGTTATTCAGTTGAGTTATACTTAAAGTTCAGGGTAATCAACTGTTAAAAACATACTGTTAAAAAAAGTATTCTCCAATAAATGGATGTTTTCAAAGTCAATGAATAATCGCATTTAATAATCGCAATTACAATTAATGACCCAAATAATCGAGATTATGATTTTTGCCATAATCGAGCAGCCCTAGTCAGGTATGAGAGTCACAGGCTCGTGCAAAAGCCCTGAAACAGCCCGCCGCACTAGGGGTGGAATTAAAAACAAGACCCCATAAATAAAACAGAGCCTGGTCTTTCACTCTGTCGCATTAGCCGCACAGGGGGCTCTTAACGGGGGCTCAGGGACGGCTTTAGATGGGAGCTGAAAGGGGGTTAGCATTGTCAGGAGGAAAGCGTTTTAAATTGACTGTAAGTCACACGTGGGGTTAAAGAGGAAAGGGTGTGAATTAAATAAGAACTGCAATTCCCCCAGAAAGGTTTTTGTTCGGCACCACTGAAAGGTAACACTGTGTGAGGTGGGGGCTAAAGGGTAGCAGCAAATCACCAAGACCCCCGCAGTAAAGCTCAATTCTTCACAGCTCTCCCTCGACCGGTGGAGGCTCAGTTTCTCCTCTGTAGACGGGGAGATGTTTTGTGAAAAATGCTCCGGCTGCCGCACAGAGACAAAGCAGAGCACCAGGGAGACGGAGATACTGCAGGCAGGTAGTGTTTCGGATTAGACCCTCACCATTAGCCCCCTGCAGGCCCCAGCAGCCATCTGTTTACTCCATTGATCCATTGATCCATTGATCCATTGATCAGGATGGCCAGCACCGTGCATTTAGATGATTAGCATGGAGCACTTATCCTGTTAGGGAGGGAGCAGGAGAGAGAAGAGCACACAGGGAGAGGAAAAGGGGATTTGGGGATATTGTCTTACTTTCATGTAGCCTAGCTTTTGTTACTTTCTTAAAGGTAGTTAATCCTTACTTAAACGCATTAAACTCAGTTTAACAAAGAGCTATTGTTTGTGGATGTTGCATTTCCGGGCTGGTTGTTGTTGAGTGAGGTGTCTCTTTTTTGTTTAATCTGGAAGAAAAGGGAGAATCGATCTTAAACATCAATACAGGTTATATATATCTGTTAGAGAGAGAGAAAGTTGTTTTTATAAGATCTTTCGTAGCAATTGTCGCAAATATATATATAAATATGAGCCAGGGTTAAAACATCTGGCTTATAAGCAGTTGTCCACTTTTATTGGAAAGGATTAAAAAATATATTTATAGAGAATACAATTCAATTTTGAAATAACAATCAGATATTTTTCGCCTTTGTTGTTTTGTGTAGTTTACTTAAACATGCACACATCTTTGAAACATAAGGCATACCACAATTTCCAAGTATGGAAAGGTAAAACAAATTCTCCCAGAAAGTGTACAACCACCTTATTGAGGATATTTAATTGTTTATGTAGAATTCAAAACTCTCACACACTCTCTGCCACTATTACTGCTCACACTGTCTCTAATCCCCAGAGTAGCGTCATTCTGCCTCAGCATGAAGGTGTGAGAGCACCGGGGGAACAGAGTGGAGCTCTTTTCTTCCTCCCTCCTCCTCATCCTCTCCCTCTCCTTGGGTCCAGTCTAGTGTGGAATGGGTGAGATTAAAAGCAAGTCGCAGAGACAACCCCTGCTCCTGACTGAATGGATGAGTGCTGCCCACTCTCCCCTCTCATTCCCTCACTCTGGGCGATAGCACTTTTTTAATTAAGGGGGGGGGGGGCAAAGAGACACTAGGAATGATGGAGGGATTTATCAGCGCCTCTCCTCACACAGCTTATCCTGGAGCGTGACGCCATACTTCCCCCGATAAGGCGGGCTAGTAGAAATGAGAGCGCGGGCTGGCACACACACACACACACACACACACACACACACACACACACACACACACACACACACACACACACACACACACACAACGTGAGCTAAGACATGCAGACATATGCACATTTACCCAGATAATGAAGATAAAGGCACTCACAGCGGGGACAAAGACGTCTCGGGGTTTGACTTGATCTGGAGAGACTAGAAACTGCACACACATACAGATTTGACTTCATTTCATTGACACACTCAAAGAAAACGATGTGGCACACACACACACATTTATGACAAACTTCATACACACTCTCTTAAAACATAGTACACACACACACACACAGCAGTGACATTGTTGTGACTGTAATGGGGATTTGTTTGCAGCATGGTAGAAACATATGTGGCACTTGTGTGTAGAGACAGATTGGCTCCTGGAGTAGAAGAGACAGTGTAATTCATGAAGCTCACCGGCAGATCCTGAGTGCTTCCCCTATGTTGGTTCTCCAACACAAATTCTGCTCTCTCTCACACACACACACACACACACACACACACACACACACACACACACACACACACACACACACACACACACACACACACACCACACACACACACACACACACACACACACATGCATATTTTGTACTCACTAATTGCAACGGACATTAACGCAATTAGGAAAAAACACATATCTGTCATCAGATGTATCCCCATCAATCTTTATTTATTCCCTGCAGCAGCAAACAAACACCCACCCATCCATCCACCCACACACACACACACACACACACACACACACACACACACACACACACACACACACACACACACACACACACACACACACACACCACACACACACACACACACACACATACACACACACACAGTGCCAGGGCTAGTGTGTGTGTGAGCTGACTGACAGAGGGTTCCCAGTGGGGTCAGTGTCTACAGGGAGCCGCTGGATAGCAGGCATGTCTTAATGAGGCTCGTCAGGCTCTCTGCGCACATACACACACACACACACACACACACACACACACACACACACACACACACACACACACACACACACACACACACACACACACACACACACACACAGTCCCTTCACTCCATCACTTCCCTTACTCATCGTATCTTTCTCTCTCTTCCTCACCATCTGTATTTCTCCTTCCTCATCACCTTTTGTCGCCTCCTTCTCTCTCTCTCCGCCTGTCACTCGTCCACTCTCTCCCCTCCTCGGTCCTCTCACCCACCCATCGCACATCACCCCCCCCCCCCCCCCCCCCCGCCGCCGTCACCCGCATGCCCGTACGATCAATCTTCCCCTTTCTTCCTCAATCCATCTTTTATCCATCGCCTCTCCTCCTTCTCAATCCTCCACTTTCATCCGCTCCTTTCATTTTCCACCCTGCCGTAATCCCCCCTCCTTCCCTTTCCCCCTCCTCCCCCCCCCCCCTCCTCCTCTTCATCCTTCTCGGAGGCCATTGAATGGGCAGCTCAGGGAAAAAAAGTGTGGAGGCTGCAGGATTCTCCCCAAACGGCTTAATCTGGCGAGGCTCTGCGCGCCGATAGCCTCCTGCACACCGGTCCCTCCATAGGCCTCTCAACAATGACTGTCTGCACATCGGCAGCAGATAAAGTGATGTGTGTGTGTGTGTGTGTGTGTGTGTGTGTGTGTGTGTGTGTGTGTGTGTGGCTTCTGTCTGTCTCTGTCATTCTTTTCCATCCCTGCTATCTTTTTTGAAATTGTTCAGTTAGCTATTTCTCCCACCTCTGTGTGATTGACAGGCCCTCTGTGTGTGTTTGGATGTTTGTGTGTGTGCGTGGGTGGCCGTTTGAACATGGAGCCGGGCTGTGTGTGCGCGTGTTTGTGTATAAAAGCGTGGGCGTGCGTTTAAGCACGCATCCCAGTAGTGTACGAGCCTTCCCATGTGCACTTGTAGCTAAAACGTGTGTGTGTTGCACATTTGTGTAACGTTGTACAAATGTGTGTGTGTGTGCATGTGGGCGGCTGGAGTCGTGCACTCGCATGAAATCACTGGCAGCTGTGTGTGCCTGGTGTGTGAGAGCGTGGGCATCGCTCCTCTCCAGCAACAAAGTAAGGAAGCCATCGCAGCTCTATCAAATGTCAGAGAATCTTAAGTGTGCCTTTTAAGCACAATAGGCGGTGGAAATGTCAACACTTGAAGGGTCTATTACACTTCAAACCTTTGGTGTGTTTTTTTCTTTCTTTTCCGCTTCCTTTATTGATGCTTTCACAGGAATTTGAAAGAAACAGGCAAGAATATCAACCCATTTATGTCAAGAGTATGCATCTCAGCGGCTCCATGGTTAGCCCAGTGTTTGTTAGCGCAGTGTTAGCTTCCTGTAGCCTGTTGGCGATGCCCTAGTAGCACACCAGCTACAATATTAAGAAAACATTTGTCTCTTTGAGTTCAATATCACAAAGTTCATTACATTGATATCCCCACGGTGCACACACACATACAGCAGGAGATAGAGAGCCAAACCCCCCTACCTCCACGCTGTTGTCATGGAGAACACGTTGCGCCTTGATCCGTGAAGAATAATAATGCCTGCAAATCTATTGCAATGCAAGAGTAATAAAAGATTGTGCACAATGCTGTGTGTGTGTCCCTGTTGGTGTGTGTGTGCATGCAAAACACCCATATACATGTTCCCTTTGTACGTGCATGTGAGTTTATGTGTTTATGTGAGATAACGTGAAGCGCGCGAGCCGCCTGCTGTCAGGGCGCAGGCGGAGAAAAGGGCCTTTGTTACTGCCTGAGCTTCTCATTACAGAGTCGCTGTGACCCCAGAACCCCGCTAGACAAGCCGTCTGCGTGTCACTTCCTGTCTCAGCCTGCCGAGCGACGCCATTGGCAGGCTATTGTTCCTGGGAGAGCGTGATAGGATCAGGGAATGTGTCCTAATGTTTGCAGATTGGCTTGCCGGAGCAACAATTACACTTGGTGAACACTCCCGACGGGGAACTAGAGCGATAAGAGCCTGGGTGTGGAAGAGTGAAAAAAAGCCTCAGTGTTTCCTCCATGTGTGTACGCTCACCAAATGCAGCGTTGATGATCTTTTATTGTTTTAATAGCTCGCATTGAGAATCCACAATGGAGAAGTTTTTCCAATTTCCTCCAAACTGACAGCCGAAATTGCTTCCTTTGTTTTACTGTTCATGTGTTGCTCATCACATCTTCATACAGGGAAACAAGGCAAATGAAGGAGGGTCCTCTGAGTCACTGTTATAGGGAGCAGATGGTTGAATGCTGTAGAAATGCATCAAATCTGGATTTCAAGTATGTGTGTTTTACCATCAATAACTGTTCCCCCTCCTTTCTCTCTCCTTTCTCTCTCCATCAGTGCCAGCGTGCGGAGGCGTGTACGATGCCACCGAGGCGGGTTACATCACCTCCCCTGGTTACCCTCTGGAGTACCCCCCTCACCAGAACTGTCACTGGATCATCACGGTGCCGGAGCCCTCGCAGCGCATCGTCCTCAACTTCAACCCGCACTTTGAAATCGAGAGGCTGGACTGCAAGTAAGACGGGAGGGGCGTAGCGGCTTTTTGGAGATGTCATATTGATGTCTGAAACTCTCTTCTAGCAGAGTAAAATTGCTTTTACAAATAGGACTTATTATTCTGGCTGAATGGTGATTAGTGTTGACTTTTTCATTAGTATGCTGCAGAAGAATTTGCATCCCAAATAAGTCATTTCCTGTCGAAGCACACAGGTTTTTTTTACATTTTATTATAATTCACTGCCAGTGGTTTGGCTCCGTCCCAAGTTGTGGAAACATTTCGACCACAACAGGTCAATTGCAAAGGAAATTATAATTGTAGATCCAAGCTTCCTGCAGACCATTAAGTGGACTGCGGGTTTTCTTTTCGTGAAATAATTATTTATGGAGAGAATGGGCTCTTTCAGCGCCTTCCTTTCTCACATTCACACCATTAAACACATTATTTCCTGGATGCTGCCCAGTGCAACCACTGACCTCTTTAAAGGCTTCTGCTGAGCAAACTCCTACATTAAATTCCTTGCTCAAGGGCACATCAGCTGCACAGAGCCTCCACAGTAAAAAGAAGCCGAAATGTGCAAGTTTCCACTTTTCATTTGCACGACGGTAGACACAGATAAGCTCATCAAAATAAACAGTGAATGGAAAGAATGATTCGTAATTAGTCCATGTGTTTCATCCATTGGTGACTCGTGACGTCATACCTCCTGTTTCATTCAGCTTGGAGGCTTGAACACGTTTTTTTGTATGTCTTAAAGCCTTTTCTGCCTTTCTCAAAACTGTATCAGAAGGACTGGACCGGATGAAAGAAATAAATCATGATTTTATTAATAAACAGAGAGAGGAAGGAGCAGAAAACAATTTAGCCCAGCTGTTAGTCAGTTTCCTTTCTCAGAGACATGACTAATCCAAATCATATGATCTCCTATTGTCTTTGACCTCAGAGGAACGAGGAAGAAGTCGAAGTCTCCTCTGTTTAATCTACTTTTAAACAACCGAGTCAGCGGGAATGTTACAAAATTCCCCCACTTTAAGACTTTTGCGTTTGTTTAAAGTGAACACAGAAGATTTGGTCGCTGCAATTACGACAATTTTATCCCCCAGTCCTTTCTTCTCTCTGTAAATCGAAGAATTAATAATCCTACACGAGTGTTTTTGCATTGTTCACTGACAAAGCACTTTGTGTGGCAGGCAGAAGAAGCAACTTTCACGGGCACATCAATGGCGGCGTCAGTGAAAGGGTTTTGTAATGATTGTCGATTCTATTCGCACAGTTGTGTCTTGTCGCATCGAGCCGGAGAATGTTATTTTGATGTCTCCGCTTTGTGTCTCCTGTCGCTTTTGTCAAACCGTTGCATAATTATCTCCCTTTCGTAATACGTTTCTCAGTAATAATAAACGCTTTTACACCAGCGTCACAGTGTCAACACGGCGGCTCACTGGACTTCCTGTGTATGGAGAGCTCAGCTGGCGATAAGCAGTGTGTGGAGTCTCTCACAGCCCAAGGCATGCGGCAGGAGGAGGAGGAGAAACTGAAATGGCTCCTATTTTCTCCTCTCCACAGATGCTTTTATTGCAATGTTTTTTTTACACTTGCCTGGAGGAACTGAGGCCTTTGCCTGCCCTCTCACACACACTCCCACCCAATCTGCCCTCGTATGAGTGTGTGTGTGAGAGTCAGTGAGCGTGGGTGGTCAAAAGACGTGTGAGTAACTCTGCAAGCATGTGAGCGAGTATTGCTCCTATACATCCATCTATCCATCCATTCTCCTTGTGATAACCCACGTGTTGAAGGCCCATTAGAGGGAAAACGGATCACAGCAACATTTGTTTATGTATAACCTCGAACACTAATGTGTTTGCCCTTCTGTGTTTCATGGAAGAGGCATTTCCCTTTGGGGCGCAGCAGAAATAAGTGGAAAAAGTCAAAGTACAGCTCGATACTCCTGCCCTCTCTGTCCTGTGCTATGCTTTTTACCGGGATTGATCGAGCCTTGTAGCAGCGTTACGGGTAGCTTCCTTTCCTTGCCTGTATGATTAGGCGCGGCTGTGTGAGGGCGCAGAGATTTCTGCATGTTTTCACGGTGCTCTGCGAGGGCCGGGGGGCTGCAGAGGTGGAGGGCTCGCCATCTTGGTCAAGGCTGAGAATCTGCATGACAGCTGGGACTGCAGAGAAACCCGAGCTGTGTGTTACCTGCAGAGCTACGTGTCCTGTACTGCTGGAAAATATACAATACTATGGTCACAAAGATTGTAAAAGGACACATGTTTCCAGTGGTTTCGCTTCAAAAACACATGCACGTCGACACTTAGGCATGCGACCTGTCTGTGTAAGAGCTCTCATATCCCCTTGGGTCCTGTAGGCACGTATACAACGGAGGAAAGTGCTTGGTCAGCCCAGACGAGGGGTCTGAGCTGCGGCTAATACCCCCAGCCAGCTGCTGATTTTCCCTCAGTGGGTTCAGACAGTCAGCGCTCGGACGGTGCGCCGCGGCTCTGCTGCACCAATCAAATCCCGGCTCTATGCAGGCGCTCCGTGTCTGAGGTGGCACTTTAAGTCAGGATTTCATTTCAGGGGAGTCCGACCGCGTGCCAAATAGCTCTTACCTTCAGGTTGCCAGCCAATTGATGTGAACTAAATGTAATAACGGCTAGATGAAATATCAGGCCCATATCTCTAATGCAATCTGCCATCACCGAGCCCCAGGATGCTACCTAGTGATATACCAGCAGTGGAGGAGAGCTGGAGTCTCTTTTCTTCATCTTCTTTCCTCCCTTTTGTTCTCTTATTCTCCCTCTCCCCTATAGCCTGAGGATGGAGCGTTTTATTTTTACACACTTGAATCACACACCCACGTCATAAAACCGAAGGCAGCCCAGAAGATCCATTTCTTCCACCTATGTGGTTTTTATTTTCTCACTCTTATTCGGTTATTTGTTATTGACTGCAGCCTGAGGGCGGGGGAGATTTGAAGATATAACTTTATATAACTTCACACACAGAGCTGTGAATCCTCGGCTCCCAGCGAGGAGCGTCACCGACACATGGCCACACTCCCCTGGTGTGTTTCCATATGTGTGTGTGCATGATATCACCATCTTACTAATACCCAGAGGGGGCGCAGAGAGGTGTGGGATCAATGTCTGTGTTCCGCTTGTAATGGGAAATCCATTGATGATCAGCTAGGGCCAGAGGCAAGGATGGAGGGAGAGGAGGAGGAGGAGGGTGACGGTCAGGGATGAAAGGAGAGACAGATGAGTGGCCAGAGGTCACGACTAAAGGGAGTTGTTCAGGTTCTGATGCGTCAATATCTGGCGCTCGGTCGGACAAGATCACGGTCGCCAGTGTCCGGCGGTGACAGCTAATACAGCTGTCAGCGCTATCATGGTGATATAATGAGTAAATGTTAAAACCAGCCATTTAAGATGATTCCTTTAGAGGAACTTTGTCTGGATGAATGCAAACGCGGCATTGGAAGATCTGAATACCTGCTGATCTTGCTCAGACGCAGTTAGAGTCTGATGTTTCAGATCGATGGCACTAGAAGGTCTGGGGCCGAGGCAGACGGCCTGCGGTCGGCGGTTTGCCCCGGTCATGTGTAAGTATGAGTCTGTGATGGACAGCAGGAGAGGGAGGTGAGGCAGGAGCACACGAGGAAGAGGAGTGCTATTTGTTTTGGGGGCTAGATTGAAGATGGCAGGCCTTGAGGATCTGCAGGGATTTCGCTCGCAGCATCTAGTTAATATTTCAGAGGCACTTATGGTTTATTAGAGTCCCCTTTGAGGGTGCGGGAGGAGCGAGTGTGTAGACGCTGTGTAGCTGGGCGTGTGTCTACTGTACGTCCTCTGCCTTTCTTCATTTCTGCTCCAGCACTGATGTGCAGAAGAAAGCGACAGACATCTCTACGTTGTTTACCCGGTCGTGATCTGGTGGGTTTCCGTGCTCCGAGAGTGGAAAAAGGGTGGAAACACAATGCAGCAGAGAGGGGAAATCATTTCAACTGAAGGCCTCGAGAGTGTGAGCGCAGCCAAGTTTGGTTGGCTGATGTTCGAGAACAGCTGTTGCTCTTTTACATGCATAAACAAAATAAATCAGACGACCATGACGCGCCCGCAGCAAATTATGTGTTAATCTTTTGTGTACTGTTGACGCTCCCAGTGAATGCTTTATGTCTTTATGTACATGAAAGTAAATCATAAGCAAGATCCCACGCTATTTCTTTCACAAACAGGTAGTTAAATGAGAATTTCTGGTGATTTTTACATTTCTGAGTAAGATAATGAGCCCGAAATGCCATAAAAGTCAGTTTGAGAGCCCTTTAAATATACAGTATACACATGCAGAAGTTATGTTATTCTGTACTGAGGTGCCTACGCCTGCGGGGAGCATCCCTATCCTCAACCAACAGCAAAGGTGTGAAAGGCAATTAGTTGTTGTGGCGTACAGGCGGAGTGATATATGAGAGCGGAGGAAGAGAAGACATGTCTGAACTGGTGCAGAATTACTGGCCCTTGGGGTTTTTAGTTTCCTTAACCCCTCTCCCTCTGCTCCGGCTATCCTCCACGGGAGAAATGAGGGGAGGGTTCAAAACCGGTGCCCCCGTAATGGCTCCCTAAACACAGCCAGACAAACGGAACGCATGGGAACGGGTGGTGTCAGACATGAGGCGGGGTTTGGAGCAAAACATCCACCCTAATGGAATCTGGATCTGGATGGGGGGCTGTGTGTGTGTGTGTGTGTGTGTGTGTGTGTGTGTGTGTGTGTGTGTGTGTGTGTGTGTGTGTGTGTGTGTGTGTGTGTGTGTGTGTGTGTGTGTGTGTGTGTGTGTGTGTGTGTGTGTGTGTGTGTGTGTGTGTGTGTGTGTGTGTGTGTGTGTGTGTGTGTGTGTGTGTGTGTGTGTGTGTGTGTGTGTGTGTGTGTGTGTGTGTGTGTGGTGTGTGTGTGTGTGTGTGTGTGTGTGTGTGTGTGTGTGTGTGTGTGTGTGTGTGTGTGTGTGTGTGTGTGTGTGTGTCGGGGAATGCGTTCAAGTGTTTGAGAGAGACAGACATGGGGCTCTCACACGTCAGGCCCTCATGCATGTATTCATCGAGCCCGGGGAGAGGCTGAGCGAGCGGGTCAATAATCACATCTGAGGAACACTCACTCGCTGATGCTAATCCACGACAGGAGAGCGAGACAGAAGGAGAGAGACCCACTACAAAATCAATTAAAACCTAATTAGGCTCTCAGCTCTTTCGCAGGCCTTTTATCCCCTGTTTGTGACGAGTGTGTGCGCACGCCTGTGTTTGTCCACATCTGCGCGTGCACGCGTCTGTCTATCTCCATGGGTGCATTTGTTGGCACTTGTTTGAGTGTGTGTGTTTTCCCTAAGCGTGTGTCCGTTACAGCCCTAGCAGGCGTACTTAGGGATAGCCGTGGCTCTTACAGGCTCACCGTGGGAGCTCGCAGCTAAAGCCTTCCCGATCGCCTCCGTAATGCAGGATTACAACCAAGACAAGAGGATCGGACTTCTTTACTCAAGTGCAACTTTTGTGCAGATTTGCTTCGACCGCGACACTGAAATGTCTCAGCACAAAGTCTTCTTTAGAGAGGAACGACATCTGTCTCTGAATAATTCACAAACGTTCTTCCATGCTGATGCACAGATATAATGTGAAATTGTGAAAGAGCACTCCTGCGATTTAGTATTGCACTTCCATGCAGTGGAGGGCCCAGAGGGAAAGGCTGAGAGAGTGAACAGCCGGCACTGCTGCAGAGGCAGGTATACATCACCTCTCCTACCACCTCTCTTTAGACCAGTGGTACTCAATTCACAGCGTGTGGGCCAAATCAGGCCTGAGAGAGGGTGCTGCAATAACAATACATTGATCAACTATGGTATTTTTGTTTACCTTTTGATACATAAGGTAATATAAATAAGTTTTGAAAAGCCAATAGAGCTTGTTTATCAAAATAAGTGCCATTGGAAGATGGTCAGAACCCACCAACGAAGGTACAGGCCTGAAATTCCCTAAATAAAACAAATAATGATTTTTAAAAAGTATAGATAAATTCAATTTCTTTGCCAATTTGTTCTTTCTGATACATGTTATGAATCTTTATTTATGAACTGTAATTTGCTAAATGGTCCCTGGGCAGTGCAAGTTGAGTACCCCTTGATACTCAACATTGCCAGCAGTGTTGTGGAAACATGACAGAATTGTTGCAGTATTTCCACACTTTGATCCTTACCTGTGCGTGTTCCACTTTGACCCAGATTAAATTGGCTGGGATTATCCCCCCATCAGCAGTTTTAGCTTCAATGCTCTGTGTAGGAATCAACACACTGCAGGAGTGAGATAGCCAAAAAAGAGGCTTACTGACTCTCCTTAATCCACGTTTTATTTCCAAGCCGCAGTACAAAGGCAGTCTTAGTGCTTTAGATGCCATAAAGGAACACAGCCTAGAGCTGATTGCTACCTCTCAGCTTTGCTTAATACTTTTCAGTCTGAGTTTCTTGTTTAGAATATTAGCAAAGATGCTGTGTTTTAAAAAGTCAGAGATGTCTGCGAAGCTTTTTCAGCTTCAAAGCACCCATCACAGTAATTAGGGAGACAACAGCGGCGGGCCGTTGTCTTTCTGACGGCTTCGTCATATGAACTAATTGAGACGAGTGTGTTTGCATGAGTGTGTGTGACGGAGGGCGCGCTGGGTGGAGCTGCGGGGCTCGTGTGGCGATTCAGTTAGTTACGCAGGGAATCACAATATGGGGGGTGAGGAGACACTTAGTAGCACTGGAGAGAGAAACAGACGGGGATAAATATTATGGAGAGCGAATTACAAGGAAACGTTTCACAGTTGCGCGTCTCCAAATGCATGACATGCATGTTTAGCTGAAAATGGAGGTGGAAAAGTGACGATTACCTTTAGTATAATTGCCAGTTTTGAGATTAACTCACTTAAAGCAGCACTCGAGCGCACAAACAGAAATTATGGAGTTTTCCACACCTTCTAATATTGTCACACAACTCCAAATGATTACTTTTAAAACCCTGGGGTTCTCCAGCTGCCTTTCTTAATCCTATCAACAATGCTATGTGCAAATGACAGGAGGTAATGCACAGAAGGACTGTGTTTTATAGTAAATTATGGTTTTCAACTATATTCGTCTGTCTTTGCATGTCTTAATGTCTCTTTCCCTGTACTTTATATGGACATACAAATACATAAATGAGCTGGCAACAATGTCATGATGTATATTCTATGTTAACAATGTTAGAGGGACGACACATGAGCTATTTGAGGATCAGCCAGGTGGGCTTGTTCAGCCTCTCTCTCATAAACACACACACACACACACACACACACACACACACACACACACACACACACACACACACACACACACTGAGCTGACAGTTAAGAATGTGCTTTATCGCTCAGGGTCACTTGGCCAGTCAAAGGTTATAATGAGCTGAGTGTGCAAGCATGTGGAAGCTAAAAGCAAGCGCCTCACATTTATTTATCTTAAATTCTATCCTTGAGCCGCTAGAACTCCCTGTGTCCTCACCTTTCCTCTCTCCAAGACTCTTTATTTGTTCATGAACTGTCTATTTTTACACTTTTATTAATTAATCCATCCAAGAAACAAGCATTTTTGGAATACTTCTTCCCTTTGAATCAAGATTTTGGGATGTAAGCTTGCCTCAGCATTAATTGAATACAGATGAGGGGAAAGAGTTCAAGTTAGGTGAAATATCTTTTACTGAAGTCAGTGAAAGATATATTTACTTATATCTTAATGGTACGTTGTGACGCTGTGTATCCTGACCTGAGGCTGAAGAGGTCCACACCTGTCTGTGTTTTATTAGCTGAGCCCTCTATCTATGCTTATCTTCACACTGCCCCCTAGCTTTTATATCCTTTCCTCTCTTAGTTCCTTCCTGCTGCATTCAGCTCAATGAACTGAATTGTTTTTCAAGCAACAGGAAGTAATCTTGTTTTTTCTTCAGGTACGACTTTATCGAGATCCGCGATGGGACATCAGAGAACTCCGATGTTCTGGGTCGGCACTGCAGCAACATCGCCCCGGCGCCCATCATCTCGTCCGGATCCTCCCTGCAGATCCGATTCGTCTCGGACTACGCCCACCAGGGGGCCGGCTTCTCTCTGCGCTACGAGGTCTTCAAAACAGGTGAGGCGTGGAGCTGGAACACGATTGGCTGTTATAAGAATAACACACCCGTTTGTTTGGTTCATGAACATTTGGGTGTGATTGCTAATTGGTTATGGGATTTGATTAAAACTGCATCTTAATTGATCTCATAATCAATATGACAACTGGTATGTGAGGTTTTATATTTCAAACTGAATGACTGTTCTTCAAACAATAGTGTGATCT